GCCACGAAACGTGTGAGGGGTGTGCCGAAATGGGTGGTGGGGAGGCATGCGGACCCTGCCACTGGGGCCTTCGGTGGAGCTCCCTATGGGGCCACGAAACGTGTGAGGGGTGTGCCGAAATGGGTGGTGGGGAGGCATACGAACCCTGCCACTGGGGCCTTCGGTGGAGCTCCCTATGGGGCCACGAAACGTGTGAGGGGTGTGCCGAAATGGGTGGTGGGGGAGGAGGGAGGGGGGGGAGGAGGAGGAGGTGAGGAACGCGGGGCGCCGTCTCTTCAAAACGAGGACCCAACACCACAGGATGGTTGGAAACAAAACAAACACAGGGAATGGACGTCCGAGCGATGGCCAGGTACGGTTGTCAACCAGTTGCGCCAGTCAGCTGCATCTTCGTTGTGGTAGCAATACTATGGGCCGTCTCTTTGAGAGTCTCTCGGGGCAGTTTGGTTGGGGCTCTCGTCAGCTGATTGGAGACTTTCCAAGCAAACAAGAACAAACCAAATCGCACGACGCCAGGTTTCTCATGAATGCGAAAGAACAAGCATGTTGAATACGAGCCCATCGGAGCCCCGAGTTGGCTTTGGGCTCCTGACGTATTCAAGAGGGGGGCCCTCGATGGCTCGGTGGGCCGCCAGTGTCGGGCCACTGCGTTGGAACTGGGGTCTGTGCTGCGGCGTGGGGTCCCCAGTTCAGGAGGAGAAATAACACACAGACACAATTAATCGTCGAGTCCCAGGAAAATATGGGAAAATATGGGAAGTGGGGGGGAAGACAAAAACCCAGAAAATATGGGAAAATATGGGGAATCTTTTTATTTGTGTGTATTTATTTGTGTGTCCCAGGGCCCCTTTAAGTGTCGGGCCATTGCGTTGGAACTGGGGTCTGTGCTGCGGCGTGGGGTCCCCAGTGATTCTGCAGCGGTGTCTGCGCCCCTCCGCGCGGGTTGGTTCGGGGAGAGTTCTGTGCTGCTGGGGCGCCGCGGCGGGAACGCCGGTGTGTCTTGGACAGCCTTGTTTGGGTAAAAGGTGTCCTTCCTCCTCCTCCTCCTCCTCCTCCTCCTCCTCCTCCTCCTCCTCAGGATGTGGGGTTTCCCAGAGGCCCGCAACTGCCCCTTGGTCCCCATAGGCCCCTTGCTTCCCATATACCCTTTTAGTACCGTAGGCCCTGTGGCCCATTCTCTGGCGAGCTCCGATGTTCAGTCTTTCCTGAATAGGCTCCAAACGTGTTCAAAATTGGTGTCAAATACGTTCTCACTTGGCACCCGAGGACTTTGCAATAGGTTCCAATGTAGTTTCAGATAGATAGCCACAGCTCCCCTCGCCCACCTCGCCAAATATATTCCAATAGAACCCCCTTACCCACGCTAATCAAACAGGTGTTGTTTAGCTTTGCTTCTCCAATTTAAACTTTACTTAAATATTTCCTCAGATTGGCTTTCATCTTCCCCCCCTTTGTGGGGGGTGGAGGGGGGAACGCCCTCTTGGCCTTCAATTTTGGTTCAATGTAGGCTTGTATTTTTGCCTCAACCACCCTCTTCTTGCTCGCCCCAGGAGCCCGAATGGAAACCCGCGCAAGCGTCGCCGCGGGCCCACAACCGCCGTGAGAAGGAGATGGGTTCATGTGCCGCGCTGCGAGCGACAGCGAGTGTTTCGGGGACTAGGGCGCCGCCCCGCGAAGCTCGAGCGAGACGCGCGAAAAGTGGGGCTCGCCCGCGGCTGGAACTCGCCAAGTCTCTCTTAAACGAGTCCAGGGTTTCCTAAGCTTGTTGCGGGGCGTGAATGCAGCTTGGAGCACAATCAAGAATGGCCCTCAAATGGGCAAAATACGTTCCCAAGACGGCCCGTGATGGCTCCATTGAGACGGCCCGAGAAGCTCCCAAGATGCCTCCAGACGGCGCCCCGAGAGGGCCCCGAAGTTCCCCCCGGCAATAGCAAGCAATAGGTTTATTGTGCCAGTGAGAGAGAGAGAGAGGAAAAAAGAGAGAGAGAGAGAGAGGAAAGAGAGGGAGACGGTTTCAGCCCGTTCATACCTGGGGGCTCATGATATACGGTGCTCCCGTTCTGAAATGTTGGTTCGGTTATCTGATTATTGTTGCGAAGATATGTTTTAACATCCCCCAGCTCCTTGCTTCAGCAAGTTAAGAGCAACTTTCAATGATAACATACATCATTGTTCTAGCTCAGCGCGAAAACACGCTCTTAGGGCTCTCGGGGGCGTCTGCTGGGCCAATCGGGGCGAAATTGGGGGCCTGCAGGGCCGTTGTCGAGGCTCTGAAGACGGCGAGTGCGCGCACATTCCATCATTACTTATCAGAAATCAATGATGCTTGCCTCTTTGGGGCTCTTGAGGGTTCTCTTAGGGCCCCGTGGGGCCGCTGAGGGAGCCTGATTCCCCGTCTTGCGGTATTCTTGGGCGTATGTAATCAGCTTTCCGGGTCAAAGTCTGGGGGGCCGATTGTTGTAGTACAGCTATAATGGGCTTCGACCCATCCCACCACCGTGCCAGGATCGTGCACAAGAGGCATCCTAGAGGCCGCTGGGGGCTCTTTGGATGCCTCCTGGGCGCCTTCTGGAAGTCTCTCGGGGGCATCTTACAGGCCTCTTGTAGAACTCTTGGGCCCTCTGGAGACCTCTTGGGGGCCGACCTCTGGGGCCTCTTGTGGGTCTGCGGGCGGTCTCGGGGGCCATCGTGGGGGAAGGTGTGTGTTCCTGCTGCTCCTCTTGGGCCCCTGCTGTGGCTGTCTGGGGGCCCTCTTGGGCCCCCACTGGGGACCTCGGGGGCCTACGTCCGGCGATCTTGGGGGGAGTCATGGGCAGTCTTGGCAGACAGAAAAAAGGCCAGCATGCGAACACGATACATAAAAAGCGTAGTTGCTCAATGATGTTGGCCCCATTGGGCCGGCCCCCAAGAGGGCTCTCTGGGTTCCCTCGTTCGTTCCGAGCAGGGTCGGATCGGCAGCGTCCCGAGTGCAGCCGGCCTTCGTGTAGTGCTGTTGGGCACCGGTTCGGTGCAGGCAGACGAGCCTCCCGCCGGACCCCCCTCCCCCTCTCTCCCTCCTCGTCATCCTGTCGTGTGCGCACTTTGTCCTGCACCATCACCGCTGGCCAGGGGCGGCTGACCCATGACAGTGGTTCGTGGGGCGCGGTGGTCTGCAGTGGTGGTGGTGAAAGTGCAGTCAACCCGCACAGTAAGGAGGGGCGGCTTTCCGAGGTTACCCTTGCATCCTTGCCCCTTTGACCCACGCCCTGGCAACTTTCGCTGGCCAGCCCCTTAGGGTACCCTTGGAACATGGCTCTGAAGGCCCTTGCTTCCTTACCGTGCGTCCGTCTTGTATGGGTTGACACTCTAGGCCCACCGTCATGGCCCCTCAGGGCTGGAAGACCCTCGGGAACCTCGAGGGCTGGACGGGCCTCCGCGCCCTGTACGCGGAGTGCAACGCCTTCGACACCATGCAGGGCCTGACCATGTGCCGGGGCCTCCGCAGCCTCTTTCTGCAGGATCTTGCCGCCGCCGCCCGTTCGTCAGGGCAGGAAGGGGTACCTGTACCGCTTCCCCTTCCATCGTTTTCCGTGTGTGTGGGGCCCCTTGGGGGGCCCTCCTCGCCGTCGCTGGATTCGCCTCGAAGTCCTGGTCGGAACGCGGCCGGGGAGAGGTCCGGGGAGCAGCGGCGTCTGTGCCTTCTGGTTTCCCCAGGAGTCCGCGCCGGGTGGCCACCCCTCGGGCGGCAAGGTGCGCGTCCGTGTCGAATGGCTCGAGCCCACGGCGCTCCCGTCGTGCTGCGGGGGCGCCGCCGTTGCGAGCCGCCAGTGGTGTGTGATTCCTTCGTTGGCGCAAGCATGGCGCGCCGAGGGGCTCCCCACGGCGGCCTGCATCAACGCTGAACACGTTTTTCATCCCGTGCCCCCAGGAGCAGTGCCTAGAAGCAGACAGACCCATGGTGGAACCCGAGCGGCCATGGGTCGATCATTCGATTTGTGGCCGGTTTCGGGTAGACTTTACAATATATATATATATATATATATATATATGTATATATATGTACACTTGTGTGCACCAATTTAGCATTATGGTTCTAATCGGTCAAATTGCTGAAGCACCCGAAGCGTCCTCATTTCCAAACACTTCCAAACGGCCAACCATGTCGTGGAGTATTAGGCAATCCCAGCCCTCATACACTGTCTTACTCGTGTATCGTTTCTGCACACACCAGTTGTTTTGAAGTGCGTGAATGTTCGAACCTTCTTGGTCCTTCACAGCATTTAATTGTTCTACTTGCTTCATCTATATATGCTGGTGTTTCGTCTCAATCGGACAAGTCTACCTCGCATTGCCTCTCGGATGTTGAACTGTTCCAAGATTTGGATTCGATCATCGGCTTCCTCTGGCTGATGTCCGGTTCTAGCAATGCCATTTCGGTCAACCATTCTGACTTTCATTCATTGTTCAATTTACCCTGCTCGTCTACCTTTTCTCCGCAAGCGACGCTTGCAATTACGGCTTATATCCTTCCACAGTTGCATGGGACCGCCGGTGTTTCGCCCTGTGTGCGGCCGTGGACGCCTCGTGAGCGCCCCGTGCTCTGGTTGGGATGTTGCTTGGTGAGCGGCCATTGGCGCTTGCAGGCTCTCAGACATTCGCACTTGCTACGCCGTGTTGACTTCGATTCCTTTCGTCCTGTTGCCCCTCCACTTCTCCTAGTCGGCTTCCTTGGACGTGATGGTCTCGTGTCAACGCGCAGCCACAAAATCAGCTAGGATCCTTCGGGGTCATCTGTTGTCCAGCCATGTTCTCACACCTGGGTTCACTGCCATGTTGCTTCTCACTCGGACGGTCCTGCCGCGCCCAGGAGAACTGCATACGCAGAATAGCAGGTTTGGAGAACTGCCCAGATTTGTACAACATCAATTTGAGCAGCAACTTCATTGAACGCATCGAGGGCTTGTCTCAGTGCAAGAATCTCAACACGCTTGTCATAGCAAAGAACAAGATCGGCTTCAACGGTGCTAGGGCTCCTTGCACGTACCAGCATCGTACGTTGCGAGCATGTTTCGAGTTCCATGTCCGGCAGCTACCACATGCCATTCATTGTTGTTGGAGTAGGTTCGATCCAGCAGACCATCGAATCGGTACGTCGTAGAGGTCCGTGTATCAGATGCGTTAGCAGGCAAGATTCGCGAACAGCAGTTTGCATGAGATCGCGACACGTGTACATGGTCTCCCTTGGCTGACATGGGCCCGTGTTTCGCGGATGCTCCCCGCGAGGCCAGGCCTCCAGATGAAAGCCAGGTGTCAGGAGGCTGTGCGTGCATCACTGTGGCAATCCGCCCCGTCACGAGGTCGTGATCTCGAAGTGTTGCACCGTGGTGGCTCAGCTGACGTGTTTGCCGTCCTGCACCTCCGTGGCCGAGGCGGCGCCCTGGCCACGGAGACCCGGGGGCTGGCGCCTCGGCCACGGAGACCCCAGGACCCGCGACACTCTCCCGGGACAGTTTTTGTCCTCAAGTGTACACCTTAGGCGATGCTTAAGAAAACCCAAGTTTTCGTCCAGAGTCTCGATTATTCTTACTGTTTCAATGTGAATCCCAAGATTTTGATAGAAGTTCTGGGTGTTATTCAATTTCTGAGACTATGAATTTCTTAACCCATGATTTCTTAAGCATTTCCCAGGGTGTATTGTTTTTGGACCTGGGGCCTCAAACCACGCCACAGGCATCCACGGGACCACTGTTCCAGAAGGACACCCTGGCCGTCGCGATTCTGCCTTCACGCCAGAGGCATAGGGGTTCCCCCGCAGGTGCGACTATCTGAGCTGAGCGCGTTCCGACCAGGATTTCGAGGCGGCTCCAGCCGCAGCGGCAGGCCTTTCCAAGGAGCCCCAGAAGAGAGCCAAGAGCACTCCGTGGCCACCGTGGCCCAAGCTTCTGCACTCGGAGGGTGCAGCCGGCTTGCCCAGCGCCAGACAGGGAGCCTACACTTTGTAAAGGCCTTGAGGGCTCCGGCATGTTCAGCGCGCTCGGCCTCTGGGATGAGACCGGGGAGCAGGAGGCTCGGCACGACGAGCCGCTCCAGCCCGAACGCGCACATAGCGCTCGTCAGAGCCCGGGCACGGACGCTGCCCACGAGCGAGCTGCACTGAGCCAGCCCGCGGAGTCTGCGAGCCCGGTCACCGACGGCTGGAGCGCCATCCAGACCGTCTGGGAGGCCGTCAGCAAGGCCTCGGCGACCATCGGCGAGGTCTTCGACATGGACGCGGCAGACGAGCCGGCACCGGCCGCGACCTCGCCCGAGGAGCCCCGGACCCCGCGCCGCGCGGCGCTGTCCACGCCCCCGGCGCTGCGCGGGTCCACGCCCCCGGCCGCGGCGCCCCTGGGCTGCGGGGGCGCCGGCAGGAGCCCGCGCTGGGAGGGCCCCGCGACGCTGCTCTTCGCCGGGCTCAGCCCCGCGGACCAGGAGAGCCCCAGGCCGAGGGGCGCGGTGCGGGAGTCGGGGGGGGCACGGAGGGTGCAGTGGAGGAAGACCGCCTCGTGCCTGTCCAGCGGGGGCACGAGGAGCCACGAGGAGACCTCGGACCGCGTGCAGAGGCCTGCCCGCAGGAGCGATCGCCGGTGCCGCGGGTCGGGGCGTGAGCGGTCCCGCGTGCATGTTGCCCACGTGGACTCTTCGAGGCCGCCCGCCTCTCGGTTTGTGTAGGCGCCTCGACGATCTGAAGCCAGCGCAGGCATGGCAAGTACGTCCTGTGCTCTTCTGTTGCAGAATCCCCCGCCGTTTGGTGGCCGCCCGTCTCCCACTGCTGTTTCAAGCCCCCCCGCCATCGATGACCTCCCTCAGCTCCGGCTTTTTCTCGGCCACGGGCGACGCGGTTCGGTGTTGGAGCGCGTCCCTCGTCCGACTGACCGTGCCAGCAGAGGTGTTGTTTGATTTTTGCGCTGTCTGCCACCAGCCTGTTCTCTCCCCCTCCCGTCTGTCCTGTGGTCGTTCTGTCCTTTGGGTCTCTGCCCCGGCCTTCTCCGCGCCTGCGGCGACGGATTTCGCCAGACGTCATTGCGGCCCGTCAGGCAGATTGCTCCTCGCCTCTTCCTCGAGGCGCCTGTCAAGTCGAGCCGCCAGCTCCTCCAAATCGTGCCCGTCAGCTGCACGAGGGCTTCCCCTCCCACTCTCTCTCTCTCACTCTCGCTCAATGGCTCGAGTTCTCCTATGAAGTTCGCCTATTTCTGTTGTTGTCCAGGGGGGCGCTCTCCCGCATGACAGGTTGCGCAGAATAATATTATGAACGCCGCGGTCAGAGGACTACGCTGTTCTGAGTTTAAATACTTCACATTCATCCTCCCATACCATGGTTGAACGCCATGGTATTCAGCATTCGCACGAGTCGAAGAGTCCACGCTATTCGGCGCTACATAGGGGACGGGATGACGATGTGGAGGGTCACACGCGATGCGGTGAACGGGGGGGGGGACTTCGGTGGAGCGCGCGATGTGAGTAATGTGCATCATGGTTTTGCTAAGCAGCGCGGTCAAAGAACAGCTTGCTGGCATGTTACTGTACACCCCAAGAGCAGGGTTACGTTGACTTGTTTTGTCATTAGAAGGCCGCAATCCGACAGAGCTCCTCGAGCTGCGTTCCGCGCTCTGGAGGCTGTCCTTACAATTGGCTTTTCCTCATCGTGCTTGTGTTCAGGTCCAGCCTTGTGGCCTCCTCTGCGCGGCACGAGTCCGCTGGGGGGGCAGCAGCGTGCCCGAGCATTTGCGGCGATCCCGTGGGGGAAGTCCTGGTGGCCGGCCACGGTTGCTCTCGCAACCGACGCGTGCCTCCGGAGCCGCGTGCATGTCACAGAAGAAAAAAACACTCTGTGCTGCCCTGCATTGTCAGGGCAAGCATGGCTGTGTGCGCTTTCGGAAAGCGAGCATGTTTGAAGGCGCACGCCCGCCGTCGCAGAAGGCCGCCCTCCGTCTCCTCGACGGACCATTGGGGACACCTCCTCGCCACTCCCTCTTTCGCGCTACGAGCGGAGGGTAAGCTTTTTGAAATTGTATACGCCGGCCGGGACGAACAGATAGCACGCACCGATAGAACGGACATATTGCAACGACGAGATCCCTACTCACAGCACCTGCACAACCCAGATAGCACACTCTTGCGAGTTGAGGACAGCCCAGCTGAGCAGAACAGGAGTGAAACTTCAGATAGCACCAGAGCAGGCATGCCCGCGCACTCCCGCCCGCGGCCCACTGGGCGCCTCCCCAGGCACTTCAGGGGCAGGAGCCACGGCATGATGGCACCCAGAGGGCGCCACGTGAATGCAGCGTCTCGCAGCCTCCCCACCCCACGCCCCGGGATGGCCAGCTTCCAGGGCAGGGCAGGGCAGGAGGAGGAGGGGGGGGGGGGGGCGCGGACAGGGTACAGCCCCAGGCAGATGGCACACGTCCCGCTGGGGGACCGGGGTGGGCGAGGGGCGGAGGGGCACCCGAGACCCCCCAAGTACCCCGCGCGAGTGTATCCACGGGAGGCAGGCCGCCCCGGTCCCGCCCGCGGGTCCCGTGGGTGCATCCCCAGGCACCTCTTCGGGCAAAGGGAACTATGCACATGCACCGATCCTGGCAAGGCCCATCCTTGACCCAGGATCGGTGCATATGCCTTCCTGGCCAAGGTAGGAGGGCGTATGCACCGATCCTGGGCTCAGGATGGGCCTGGCCAGAATCGGTGTATGTGCATAGTTCTTTTTCCTCTACCTCTGGGGCAGGTGCCACCCCAGGCTGAGAGCGCGCGTCCCGACGGGGGGGGGGCGGGGGTGGAGGGGCACCCGAAGGCCCCCAAGTGTTACGTCGGGCCTGTCCCTCTACAGGGGGAATCTTCAGAAATAGTAAGAAAAAATAGTCTGGGGACGATTTGTTGAATGTTTTTGCTTACTTGGAGTGTGTGTTTTTTGAGTATATTTTATTTGTCGCCACAAATCCCCCTGTAGGGGGGCACGCCCGACTTCACCCGAGTGCCCCACACGAAGGTATCCACGGTCCAGCATCCGAGGCAGGCCGCCACGGTCCCTGGGCGCATGCCCAGGCACCTCGGGGGCAGGAGCTGCGGCTTGCTGGCACCCAGCAGAGGGCGCCACGTGAGTCCAGCGCCTCACAGCCTCCCACCCCAAACCCCAGGATGGCCAACTTCCAGGGCAGGGCAGGGCAGGGGGGTGGTATTGAACAGTACCAGGCAGATAGCACACGTCCCACTGGGGGGGCAGAAGGGGCACCGGAGACCTCCCAAGTCTTAGTCGGGCCCTGGAAACGACAGGGCCCTTTTTTTACCGGTTCCGTTTTGCCGTTCTTTTGCCGGTTCCGACGCCATTTTTTCACCGGTTCCGTCGCCGTTTTTTGACCGGTTCCGGCTCCAGTTCCAATCCAGGAGCCGTCTTTTTGCCGTTTCCGGTCGCCGTTGTTTTGCCGTTTCCATTCTCAAGGGGTACTTTTTTGGAAACGGTGGAAAAACGGCCCTGCCGTTTCCGGGGCCCACAAAGTCCCAAGTACATACCCCAGATGTCGTAATAAAGGGAGGGGGGTCTCATTTCGGGGGGGTCTCTTCCAGGCTATCTTGGAGGGCCTGGGGGGTCTGGGGACGATGTTTTGGAGGGTTCTCCCACGGGGGAGGTCTGAAATGGCTTGTCTTGGAGGGTCCAGACCCCCCCCCCTTTTATTACGAAATCTGGAGTACCCTGGGAGGGGAGCCGAGGAAGAGGAGCGGAGAGGAGCGGAGGACTCGAGTGGCGGCTGGTGCCCGGTTTGGGCGGCAAGCCGACGGGGGCGCCCCGGAGGCTCGCGTCAGTATTGGAGGCGCCGGGGGGTCCCGGAGGCCCCCGGGGGGCCCGGAAGGTGGCACACGCCCAACGCCCCCCCGCGGGGTGACTGGGGCGAAGCAGGCTGGAGGCTGGGGGCCGGGGGCCGGGGCTGGATGTCTCAGGCGAAAAGAAGTGGGAGGCGGGGGGAGTACAGCGAGCGGCTTGCATAAGGGA